CATTACATTACATTACATTACATTACATTACATTACATTACATTACATTACATACATTAGATAAATAGATAGATAGATAGATAGATAGTTGGTAATATCTATGATATGTTTATATCCAGTGAAGGGAGTCTTTCTTAATCATCCAGGAAGTTCTTTCTCTTTTGTGGCAGGCGGGCACAGGTGGCCCCAGGAAGCTCCTTGCTGGGTGTCCAGTCCTTGCTGGTCGACCCTCTGCAGATTCCTCTTATGCCTGTTTGCCACGATGAGAAAACCGAAGCCCAATATACCCAAAGATCAGCGCAAGAAATCCGAACACACCGCAGAAGATATAGGCCAAGGTCAAGTAGCCCAGGTCACTTCCACCCAAGCATAGTAGGATTTTCTTGTAGCCGTCGACGATCATTACGGCATAAAAGTCCACGGCCTCTTCTCCACCACTGACCTCGATCAGCGCCAAGTAGTTCTCCCCCTGAGATCAGGACTGAGTCTTTCAAAAAGACCGTGGCACCAGCGGGGGCGCTGGTTGACCACCAGAACATGATCGAACATGAACGAGCTCAACCGAACATGACCAGGTGTCCGATGGTGTCCGGGTGACCGCCTGGCCCGACAAAATGGTCAGTCGTGGAGACCCGAGGCGAAGCCAACGAAATCGGCGGAAGAATGGAGGATTCAAAAAGGCCCCGCCTGAGACCAAGTGAATGGAGATAGGAATGCCAATGCACTGCTGAGACCTTCGGCTTCTGCAATCACCTGAGGTTCACTGAGTGCGCCACCCATGACCAGCAGGAGCACCGCAGTCGCAAGAGTCGAGTTCTGCTTCGGCACCAGGGTCGACATAAAGACACCCACGCCACTGGCACTGACCGCAGTCATCCGAAATGCAATCAGCCACATCCAATAGCTGCAAGGTGCTTCAGCAAAGATCATCCACACGATTGTGTACAAATAGCACCAGACCAGCACCTCAGCCCGAAAAGAGGTCCCAAAGTCTGTCTGCCCCCCCACAAGAAACAAAAAGAAACGTTTGCCGAAGAGCACCCCACCCAACAAAAATGTCCAAGCAAGACTCCAACAAAAGCTAGAAATCATGGCAAATGCGTCACCAAATGTTTGTAGAGTCTGTGTGTAGAAATGAAAAGCAGTCAAGCATGGCTCCAACAAGTTCCCAAATGTTTCGATAAAAGAAAGCTGAAACGCCGGTGAGGCACATCGAAGAGGGACACGGTCACTCTGGCAAGATAGAAGGCAGTGACTCCCACTCCACTGGCACTCTCACGCCAAAACAAAGGCCGATCTGAACCGAAGATGTGGAGACATGCTATTCCGCTCAGGGTCCCAATGGGGAGATGGGAGATGTTGATCTTCAGGGGACATAAAATGTTTTCGGGGATCAGCTTCTCGCGACATTGTCCCCCAAACACGGCGGCTGCGAACATGATGAGACCAGTGCTGATGAGCTTGTGCTTCCAGTCCCTTGCCCAACGGATACTATTCTGATGGAGCAAAATGGGGTACTGGATCAGAAAGCGCCCACGACGTCCAATCTTCTTGCTGGTGAGAATTCCACTCACGGAGCTCTCTTTGGAAGAGCCTATGGAAATGCTTGAGGCCTCAGAGGATGTGAAATCCCCTTCAGATTTGCCTGCATCCTGGGAGAAGGAGAACGTCAAAGCATGAAGGAAAGAGGTCAACCTCGGCCGAGTGATAAAGCCGTCCTGAAAGTCCATGCGTTCCATTAGACATTCCCATGCTGCAGGAGTTGGCTTCTTTACCTTCAAGAAGTCTAGGAAGTCTACGAACTGCTCCTGGCTCAACACATCATTCTCTCCAAATCCTGCACTGAACAGTTTAGCATCCAAAGCCTTCGTGAATGCGAACCTGTCCATCGGCCCTTCAGCTGCATCCGGTCCCAACTCCAAGTCACCTGAATCAAACAAATTCGTCATGAATTCAGCCCATGCATCTGCCAACTTTCTTGGCTGCAAAGTTGGATTCTTCTCGTTCCTCACCTTTCCGGAGATCACATCCATGAACCAATCCGCTGGATTCTCGTGCAAGGGCATCTCAAAGCCCAATTTGCCTGACACTGACTCCACCAGTTTCCCTTGACAAAAGCTTAACCTTTGTCCATTTAGTTTAACGGTTATCCACCTTTCCTGGGTAGGTCAACTCTCCAAGCTGGATGTCGAACGAATTATCCAAATAGTGGAGGATGTATTTTAGCGGATGAAAGCGTCGCGTCAGAAATCCCCGAGCTGGAAACAAACGAATAGAAAACAACACAACACAAAACGATGCATTTTTGCCCTTCGATTGGAGTCCTCATTGATGAATAGAACAGGTCAACACTGGGAAACACCAATAGGATCCAATAGAACGTGGAGACACCCAGAGTGGAGTAAGACATGAGTAGAATATGCAGGAGGAACGGGTGTGCAAACCTCAAACAATGTGCACATATAGAGTTCAACACTAATAATAAAGACTCTAAACTTTAAGCATGACTGCAAAAATGACATATGACATATACAGTATCTATATAGGGCACAAAGTGCCATGCTATATATCCAACACGGCAAACATATCTCTTTCATTATTTATTTTTACTGAAACAAATCTTTGTGCAGTCACATGCAGCGTACTGTTTCTTTTGTATGCTCCAGTTTCTGCTTGCGCAGTTCCCGCAGTTGTCTCTGGAAGTGGGAAATTTCATCCACCATTTAGCCCTCGGATCCGACCAAGCCTTCGGATTGGTGATAGCATGCGGTCCCCCAAATAGATAGAAATGGTGTCCAATACTTGTTTGGTGGGGATCTGTTCTACGATTTGGGGGTCTATATAGCTATGACACTAGCTATGACGATGATAGGTCTTGCTGCTTTAGACTGCAAAATCGGCATGGGAGGCATCTTCTGCAACAAGTTGCTGCTTTGAGGGAGGGGGCATCTCTTGAACCCTGAACCAAAGTTTCAATTATGCCAAAAAGGTTGACACCCCCTTTAGTCTATCGGGACTTGGGGTAGTCAACCAGGGTGGTCTTTGGTTAAAGCTGCAATCCAAGCAATCCAAGAGTCCAAAGTAGGGAAGCGCGCCCTCACTTTTGCCCAAGTAGACCGTTCGGCCACCAAGACCAAGCAAAAGCAAATCATCAAAGAGTGTGAACAGGGAGTAGCGCGGCTGGTGCACGACCATCACCACAGTCATACCTGCGGACTCGGGCCAAGTGAAGCGGGATTCATCTTCTGGTGGATTGCTCATTCAGTTGCCCAGAATCACAATCTGCACTCTTAATTATCGCATGCAATCAAATCAACCTGGACCCTCACAGGCAGTCACAAACAAGGTTGATTTTGCTCTGTCCGGTAGGTTGTAACATTTAAGGTTGTGTTCCCTCTTGCAAGTGGCCTGAACCCATCTGAGAAGCCTTCCTCTTTCACCCTAGCATGCTATAGCTCCTAGCTTTCCAAGGCGACATGTGAACATGTGTACATCCTTCTGTATTTGCTTCCCACCTCCGCATCGAGTCGTTCCGTTTCGCCCGCGCCGCGCCTATGGCGGTGAGCCGCTTCACCGAGCGAATGATCTCCAAAGCAGTGCTGGCGTCTAAGCCACTGGTCGGCTCATCCAGCATCAAAATGGTAGGACGTGCTGCAAGCTCCAAACCGATGTTCACTCGCTTTCGTTGTCCTCCACCTGATGTTACCACACACATTACTTTAGTGGTGCAGGTTCTTGCTGTGAACACCTTGCCCCTGCAAATTCCCACAAACATATCCATGTCTTAATCTGAGCGCACCCATAGGAGAAACATCATCTGAAACATAAAAACCGAAGCGACTGATGCCACGCTTCTCCACATCTCCAACCAGGCTGTGCTGTACATCCAGCAGCTGCATGACGTTCAACACATCTTCAACGATGTTGTTGATCATTGCTGGTGGAGTGCCCTCCGCATTGCGCAAACGCGCAGAATAGTAGAGCTGCTCTCGCACGGTCAAGTGTTCATGGACGATGTCATCCTGTGTTTTTGGCAGTCAAAAAGCTTCAAGTTGGGACCACTGTGTTGGCATTTGCTCGTATGTGTGTGTATATATATATATATAATGTACACATTATACAGTAATTGCACGTATGGGCACGTGCCAATATCCAGGTAACATAGACATACTTCCTAGGAGTCCAACCACATTGATTAAGGTCTTTACCCAAAATCATTGCTTCACTTGCTGAATCTTTTGGACTAAAACCAAGTCTTTGGAAGACCAGCGCATTAGTCAGCGTAAAGAGTGTAAATGTATCAACGGACAAGGCATTTGCCAAACGTTCTTAATGTTCTTTGCGGCGTCAGCTGGCCAACCGAATACTAGCTGTAACATCCGAAAGCATCTGACTGAGGACCCCGTCGGTGGTTCCAAGTGAGAAAGACCAATCAGGCGGGAATCTGTCGCCGAAGATTAGGAATAACATTGAAGGAAGCTAAGGGGAGGCTTTAACAAGGAATATCGATCACACACACATATACTATATATATACACTAACATCATATATCGAATCATATAATTTTAATAGTAAGTAAGCTACCATGAGCCACCCACAAGACGTTCAGCCAACAAAAATACACGGAGACGTGGAACGCCTCGTCCAGGCAAACCGACGCGGTTTTTCCGCGGTCCTGTGGAACGAAACCTCGAAGCTGCTTGATCTCCGCGATGCTGCTGCTCTGTCCGTTGATGCGGATGGAACCGCTAGTGGTGCCGTAGGTGGCCCGACCACACAAAGCGTTCAAGAAGGTCGTCTTCCCGGCGCCAGAGGGTCCCATGATCGCTGCGACCCTCTTGGGGCGAAATTCACCACTGACGCCTTCCAGGATGGTCCGTCCCGTGGATTTGAGCTTCACGCCCAGGTGGTCAAAGCCGATGCGAATCCCGGACATCTTCAAGTGCATGCCCTTGAAGCGGTAGTCTGGTACTTTGACATCGGGAAGCAGGCTGTTGGCGATTTCTACTGAACACTTCTCACACTCTGACATCGTCTTCGATTGCTCGGACAGCCGCAAGCGCTTGCGTCGATTGATGTAGGCATTGATTGAGAGAACTGCATAGCCAAGGAGGGTGAAGCCCAGCACGCAATGCTCCCACAAAAATGGGTCGGCCATGGCCAAATTTCAACCACTTGGTCGACCCAATTTGCCCATTTGGCTTGGCCGAATGAAAGGCAGGAGGCTGGAGCCAAGATCATCATCCATGCAAAATTTGCCCCCTGTTGAACTCACAGGGAGTGAGTTGGGCAGGCATGTCAGAGTAAACAACTGCAGTATGAACACCACATGAAGCCTGTGAAAGTATAACAAGCACATGCAATATATGTGTTCTGCATGCGTCCCTAAGCCTCCTCTTGCTGAAGGATTCCGCTGATAGGCACATCACCCTGAGATCATTCGCGCCTGGGAATTCTTCGATGATTGAAAGGCTTCTCTGGTTGCTTTTTCGGATGCCTGAGATGAGATTCCAAGCAGGCTTGATGGTTGACGGGAGGTCTATTGAGTCTATCAACCATCAATATGAGTTGTTGGCAGTCACTTGGGCTCCGCGGGTATGTTAACACATGTTAATACTGACCGCGGCGGTGTGACACAATGGCCGTGCTAGTGGCAGGTGCTCCTCCATCCGAACTTCATACAAGGTGTTGTTCTTGGAAATTGGTGTATGATGTGTGTGTATGTATATATAATGCGTATACAGTCACTGTCCTTTTAAATCAAGTTCTCAGATGTTCCAACGCATTCTTTTTGAACAGGAGCCCGTCGCTAGCTGGAGGTCTTTTTCCTTTCCGAACGAACAAAAAGCCGACCGAAACCAGCCCAGCAACCACCGTGGAAGGGCCGGCAGGCTCCGTGCGGCGGGGCTCCGGGCTCCGCACCATGATCAGCATGGCGAAGGAGCAATGGACGGATCAAATGGAACGATTTCGATTCGAAGGCAAAAGGGCGAGCCTTCAAATTGTATGGCATGGGTGAGGCAGAAGCAAATGAATGATTTCTCCCAATGGTGTCAGCCCGTTACCAGCAAATGTCAGGACACAAGCATGATGAGAAAGAGCAGTTCCTCTCATAGTTGAGTTCTTGAGCCCGGCCAAGAGTGCAAAGCTCTTTAGCAAATAGCATGCCTCACCGCGACAGCCCAATGCTGCTGCCGGATGTGTGCCATCATGTGCGGTATACATTCTTGTGGAAGCGTCTATCTATCCGTATACGGTGGACTCTTGTTTGCAATGAACCCCCGCATATGCCAAGCTTCTACAATCCAAATGGGTTTGTTTTGTTCATCAAAACGCTTACATCAATGAACCAAATGCCTGGGCCAGTGCACCGAACCGTGAAGTATTGATAACTGTCAACGAAATCCACCGAAGACTCACCCACAACTCGACTTTTGACCACCCCCTTTTCGCCGCCTTCGCTCCGCACTTTTCACCTTACCAGCCCCTCCTCAAGCGTGCCCATCTCGACCCTCGGGTTTGGGTCGGCGGTCACTGCGGGGTCGTTGGTGAGGTTCCCAATGTCCCCATGCGCCAGGAACTCCACAAAGGCCTGGAGAGCGGATAGAACATATAGGTATATGAATATGGATTGGTGAAAAAACATGATTGATGTGAGTTTACTGTACACTGTGAGTCTGTGGTTTCATGTGAGTCAACGTACGTGGGCAAAAACCGGTTTCAAACAAATGCTGAAACAATGTAAACCCAAAAAAGAGCTTCCGACCACTTAGTCACTTGTATGCACCCTGAAGACGAGTCCTAAAGTTCCTAAAGATCAAACATGTGCCCCGGCCATGGGATGCTCGGATATGCTACATGCCGATGTCAAGCCAATGTCGAAGCACAGCAATGAGGTTGGTCGGTGCAAAGGGATGAAACGCCCCGCGGAGGCTTCACCAACCCATCCCCCACCAAAAAAGGCGGGTATTACAGACATAGAAAACAAGCTAATTATATAAACTGGTTGGTGTTTTCAGCCTACTTGACACATATTAGTCAGAGGGTCCAATCATCCCCAAGTAAGGGTTGAAAATAGAAATATCCGAAACCATCACCTAGTAAACCATCTGAACATCACTGTGGGAAACATATTCTAAATGTTCTTCGCCAGTGGCGCCAGGCGCCACACTGTGTTTTGTTGTCTTTCAAGCATGAAGCGCTAACGGTCGGTGCATCAAATGGCCTTTTTGGTGATTAAGCCCAAGAGCTTCCCCGCACGTGAGACCAAGACCAACCTGGTCACAGCGGGGCCGGTGATGGAGACACACCTAAGATGGAATTTGATGGGATCTACACCCAGGAAGATTAACATAGAACCTGAAAACCACTGGGTTGTAGAGGAAAGTAGTCTTCCAAAGGTCCATTTTCAGGTTCCATGTTAATCTTCCCGGGTGTAAGTCTGGATAGAAACAGCTTTCTGGGCACAAAATGGTGCAAGAGAAGTGCGAACTCGGGGATCCAACCGTGCCGTCGTGGTTGGCTGTGTACAAGCACCAGTGACCACGGATGCGGTGAGGACCAGAGAGACCTGGACCGGGTTATTGAGCTTTAAACATGAGGGCAACTCAAAAGCAATAAACCGGCAACAAGTGAATTGGTAAGACCTAGGAGGAAGGTGAGACAAATGTTCAAGTGCGACTCGACAGCACAGCTCGACAGTGGCACGTGGCAGGTTCTAGCTTCTTGATCTTCTTGGGTCACTTCCACATTACGAAATATTGCAGGAAAGTTGTTCGGGAATTCCTGTATCCTTCAGCCACCGGAGCTACAATTTTCGAGGAGTAGCGGAGACTTGCAACACTGCCAATTGACTTTCTACTTCAGCAACTAATTATCCACAGGAAGCTCTTGCACCTATAAATATGTGGTACACCATGGTACACCCAAAAACACACATCTCTTCAACTTAGGACTCGGGACTTGCCACAAATACCCTGAGAGATACAAACATGTTCATGGAGCACACTGATGATAAACTCTCGTGGATTGCTTCTTGCTTGATGACTCTTGATGCATGTGCATGGATGCGTATTCCATCTATAGTGCGAGTAACATTACAATCAACACATACGCAAGAGTAATAACAATACTGATAATACTGTGTATATATAATATACATTACAGTATTTATGTGCTTATTGCCGCACATTGACCGCTATTAGGTTCTCCATCGCCTAACCCGACAAACACGCGATGCTTGACCGACTTCTGACCTTCTTTTCATGCAACGTACCCTCAAAAAATAACAAAAAAACGACGATACAAAGTATACCTGGTAGTTTCTATGTTCTATACTGGCTCTGAAAGTGCAGTATCGGCAACCATGCGATGCTCACTGCGATGCGGTATCGGTTGAGGCATCTCCCCCGAAGTCGAAAGTGGATTCTGGGTTGTATGCCTCATCATTTGCCCTGCAACTCCTTTCTCTCTGCAGATTTTGACCTTCCACCTCAAGACTACTTTTCTTGCATCTTCATGGACCAGCTCCTGAACCATCTAGCACGGGGTGATGGATATTCAGGGAGCGATTAAAAACAAAAACTGTCAATCAAAGGTGAGAAACTGTTGGCTTATCCATGTTATTGTCCAACATATTTAAATCAACAACATTGACATTTTACCAGTGATGGATTGAAAATGTTGGCTTATCTCGTGTGTTCGCCAGAACGTAGGGTTAGCTTGGGTTGCTGCTTTCACTGGCTCAAGTGATTGCAGCCTAGGGACTGCTTTGAATAGGACAGGTGTCACAATGTTAGGTGGGCCATGGCTATCGGTGCTGGGCCTCGCATTGACCCTGGAGCTTGTTCAGGGCCCCCCGGCTGATTGGGTCTGGTGGTTTTCTTCCAACTCCTCGGATGAGGTGGAGGAGATTTTCCCAGACGCAACCGTGGGCGAGACCGCCCCTCCCAGGATGGCCCCTGAGGAAGGTGAGCGTTCCGCTCCTCACGCAGGAGATGCGAGCACTTTCGCTCATGTGTGGGGTCACTCAGTTTTCCATTTTGACATCAGGTCCTGGATGGGACCAGCATGGTTTAGCACCCCACAACAGAAGGGAAGTCTTAGCTCCTCCGGGGGCTGGGGGCTTTACTTTCTTGATCGATTTGGACTCGCTACCTGCGGAGAATTTTGGCCATGGATTGCCTGGGGAACCCTACTAGCGCTGATTACAGTTTTGACCATTGGGGTAATCTATGCGTTGACTTGGGTCTTCCGGCCGATCCGGCTACTCTTTGATTGCTGCACCCGTCATACTCAAGCTGTTGCACGGGAGGTAAGTGATCTGCCTGAGTTGCAGGCAACCCACACTTACGAATCCTTAGCCATCCGAGGCCCCGGCTCCAGGGAAAGTGTTGATAATGACTTCCTACAAAAAGGAGTCAAGGGTCGAGGGACTGAGAGAAAGCCCAACGATGTGGTGCTTCTGCTCAATGGCCAGGCAGCGAGGGTCAAACCCGATTGCGACCACTGGGCACGCGTTGATCGGAATGGGCTTTGGGTCCGGCTGAGAGAAGTTCGAGGTGTTTCCCATCGAAATCTGAGGCAGGTTTTGGAAGGAGAGAGTAAAGTCCACCTTTGCCGGGAAATGCAATGTAGTCTTGAGAACCACCCTACACCGGGTATACACTGCAAAACCTACGCAGTGGTGGATGCCAACAGCGTGGTAGATTTGGGAGCGTACGCCGGGTGGTCCACCAGGCGACTGATGGTGCTCTTTACCAGATGTTTCAGAAGTGTCGGACGATCCGTCTGGAAGATGGTCGGGGTACTCTCTGGGTGGACGCTCCTTCGATATCTGATGGATACCCCTCAACCAGCCCGTACCATTCAGGATCATGGAGGTCTCCGTCCCCTTGACCCTGAGTCGGAATCTGAAGCTGAGGTCCTGGAAGATCCTTGCGAGGCCGTCCTAGTTGGATTGACCCATGGTGGCAAGCCGCGAGCCTTAGCCAATGAACCATGTCGGGATCAAGCAGCTGGGGAGTCGGTCCGACTCCTTGAATGTGACAAGGGTCTTTCTGATGTCAAGGGCAGGCAAGCGGTCCGCTTGTGTGATCACCACCGACAGTTGTATGTGGCAGCATGTTCCGGACGCAAGTGCAGCGTGCTCTCATGTTA